GAACTATTTTTTTGTTTCTGTAAATATGTTTTTACATTGTATAGAAACATTGTTTCTTTTTTTAATTGAACATGATTTTTTTTATCTCTCCACCCTCCAAAAATATAACATTGTACATATGGGACTAATTAGGACCTAATAGACAAAGTATGACATTTATAGCATCTGAAATATAAAAAAAATGTAATTGAATTTTTGGTGAGAGGGAAAATTATTGGACAAATGGCTCAGTCATTGTGGTTAGAAATGTTAAATAATAAGATAGTGATGTCAAGACCCCCCCCCCCACCTTTCAATATTTTTAAGCCTTTTATCACATTTCCTGTATTTCACAATATTAAATATCCATAGTCTGATGTCTGATTAAGGCATGAAACTACTAGGTCCACACTCTTTATATCTATAAATGCACTGTCCCCCAACATTGAGAACTCCCCACTCACCATAAATATAGCAAATTTTAAACAAATATATAATGCATCTATAATTTTCTATAAATTTACAATAATCCCATAAGTACTCATACGCATAAAAATCACATTTTGAATTAAAAAAAATAGCTTTTCTACTTTCTGAAAATAACCAGTTTAACCAACTGAACAGCTTTTTGAGTTTTTCTTTTTAAGATCAGTTTATAATTTAAAATGTCAAAAAATGTTAAAATGTCATGAGAACATGCAATGCAGTCAAAACATTTTTTTCTTTTGTACAATATACTGATAGGCAATGTTGTTTATATATGTCTGAGAATAAGTATATAACAGGGAGAAGAAAAGTATAGGAAAAGCACCCAGTGACTCCTGATGAATTCACAATACTTCTAGAGATATACACAAAAACAGGCCAAAATTGTCCACGAGGTGATAAAAAAAATTTTACTATTCATATAATTTAAATTTTTCTAAATTAATATTTTATATCTGCTGAAATGAAATATTTCTATAGTTATGGATATGTGGGTTAGCATTTAACAAGTTATATTAGTTAATGAACAACACAAAACAAACATGTGTATCACTTAAGAAAAACCTTTTATTCTTTGAATGCACATGTGTGCATCTGTGGAGCACTTGAAAGTTACATGATTTAGTGTGATGTATGTGTGCATGTAAGGAGGGGGGTTGAATCGTTTAAGGTAGGTTGGATATATTTTTATTATTCCTTGTATCTTACTGGAGCATTATTCAACGGTCATGGCTTCAAGTAGTGGTGGTGTGGTACTGACATGGTTAATTGTTCATTTTGTAATGTGGGATTTGCTATAATATTTTCATAATCAATGTTGATGTCTGGTTTTGAATGTCTTCCTTTGTTTTGAAAAGGTAGTTTTTTGGGGTTTTTTTTTACTATTACTTTCTTCTATTAGAATGAATTAGGAACATTGTTGAGTCAGTTTCTTTAATAGTTTCTCTTTTCTAAACCAATGGTTCATTAAGTTTGATTCTAACTTTGTTATTTGGTTTAAGTCCATGCAGTTCATGCTTATAATAATTTTTTTTGTTGCTTAATGTACATTTTGTTATATTTCTTCATAGAATTCTATTAACCCTTAGCACTCTGCATTATTAATATTACTTCCCTTTCCACTGCATTCTTTTTCAAGGCTTCTCAATTGCAGTAACCTTATTGTTAATTTCACTCAAAGGTGTTTTCTGTTGCCATAGCAGGATATGACAACACAACTATGAAATTCAAACAAATTCTGGGATCAATCATCTTCAGTGATAGGAGAAACTTTTTATACCACAACTAAAGTCACATCCAAAGCAATAAAAGGTTTAATTGTCTAACAATCCATTTTAATGGTGTAATGCGTAATGTTAAGAGTGTTAAGTGTGGATCTTTATCATTTATCATTGTTTTTTTAAGAGTATTCTTTATTGTCTGAATATTCCTTTCTATCATACCATTAGTTTGGAGATAATTTGGGCAAGTATTTATATGCCGTTCATTTGCAAATATTTTGAAATTGATTTGAACTCTGGTCTGTTGTCATTGAAAACAATTTGGGGTATACCATATTTAACAAAATTGTTTTTAAGTTTTATATTTTTGTAGCTTTTACTAATTCACAAATCTGTATTTGATGTATGTCAAAATATCTCTTGGTATAGTCTATAATTGCAAGATAAGATCTTCCATATAAGTGAAATACATTTGTTCCAATTTTTTTTTCAATATTCATGATTCATTAAGTTTTCAAATGGTTGATTTTTGTAATTGATTTCTATCAAACAATTGTTAGCCATTTCCTTAATTTGGGTGTTCATGCATATATGCATTTTCTAGTTATGGCTGTACATTAGGCCATTTTCCTTTTGTATACTCAATGAGTTTTTTCCTGTAGAACATGTTTAATTTGACAATGGTGTGTTGAAAGTTAAAAGATGAGAGCTTTCTTTGTCAGTTGGAATTTGCAAATATCTGTTAGAAATATCAAGTTTTGGGAAATATTTTGGATTGTACATTTATAAAAAAAAAAGGTCTGATAATTTTGGGATTTTTACTACCTATCGCAACATGGACACCTTTAAAATTATTGGCAACAAATTTTGTCTGGTGACTATTATGCATAGTTGTGACTTTGGCATTCTGATTGTCAGAGAATGCAGCTAATGTTTTTGTTTAGCTTTTTGCTTCTTCTCTGCTTTGTCTGGCTTCAATTGCTTTTTGTAGCGTTAGATCTGGTTTTCATAAAAGATATTCTTTCAAATTTGAGTCCTTAATTCCATATATCAAGAAATTGTTGGGATGCTTCCAAATTTGCAATGTTGTGCTTCATGTCATACTTTGATTACATAATTGTCAAACTCTTGTGTTTCTGTCTGTTTGTATGAGAAGTATTTGTGTCTTAAGAAAGTTAGATTCTGTCCCAGTTCACAGTATGTGTTGAATTTGCCTAGCACTATTTGTAGGTTTGTTTTGTCTTCACATTTCTTTTTTTTTTTTTTTTTGCTAATGTTCACCCAATACATGGCTCAAGAACCACTCAAAGTAGAGGGCTACTATGTGGACTTATATTAGTGTAGGAAAGGACAAGCATTAAGAGTATAGAGATGAAGCAGACATTAGAAAGAACTGAAAACCCAATCCTAAACAGGAAACAAGGGATAAACCTCTACTGTCCAAAGGAGTGTGAACCAGATGATAGGCAAACTTATCTACTCCTATTAAATCAAATGTAAACATAGAAAAGATGTCACTGCCTTTGGGTCAATGTATGTTAGTAAAAAGAAAGTGGTGATTTTACCCTGGTTAATTATTCTTCTCAGTTGTAAGTACAGCTTGAATTCATTTTTCTACTTCTTCCTTTCAGTGGACAGATTTCCTTGATTGAAAGTTAGTGGCTTTGGTGGTGATAAAAATTCTATTCTATTGCCTTTTTTTTTTTTTTTTTTTTTTTTTTTTTAATTAATGCTGCATTCTTGATTCAAAGGCTTCTGACATGGGGATCACTTCTAACACCATGATGGAAATATGGGTTAGTATTTAATTACTTGTATTAGTTAACAAATAAAACAAACACATGTGTCATTTAAGAAAAATCTTTATTTTCTGAGTGTGTGGGTGTGCATCCAGGGATGCTGTGATTTCATAGAAAGTAGCATAATATGGGATGATGTGTGTAGCAATATGTAACATAGTGACCTCATGTATATAAATATTTATTCTGGCACATGTGTACTATCATTGGGTATCCATTATATTATTGAATGATCTGTGAGACTAGCTTATTAACTATGACTTAATAACAACTACCTTCTCTTTTATCTCATTAGAGATAAATTATATGTTTGATAATTCAAAGGTAAAATGTTTGAGATATGCTGGAATTTTGTAAGTTTATAAATCTTTTCTTCATTGTGGCCCATTTTTGGTATCAACAAATTTCAGGCCAACATATGCACAAATAGAAATTCCATGTAACAGGAAATACATTTTATTTACAAAAGCAAAATGTAGTAGAAAATATAAATCCTGACTAATGACTGCATTGCTCCTGTTGTCTCCAGGCCCATTTAAAATATTTCTCAGGCTCACGTTTGAGTCTAAGGGCCCACTGAAATATGAGTATATAATGTTTTGAATAAAAAAATTGATGTTTTAGGGATTGCTTTTTATTACTTGTCCAAGATGATTTATGGATAATTTAATATAAACAATTTTGATCCTACAAAAATTCAAATTGACTATCCTTGATACAGTGGTTGACAAAATGTAGATATAATACAAAATAAACACTCCAGCACTTTGTACTCTTCCCAGAATTCATTGCCTTAATTGGGTTTAAAATTTTTTTTTTTGCAAAGCAATATCACATTTTTAGTATAAACCAAACCATTTTATAAAATATTAAAATTAATTGAATTCTACCAGTAATTTCAAAATAAGGTAAATTATATAATTCATGTAGATCTGTTAACTTTTAGAATGTAAGGAAACAGAAATTTCTTTATGGAGTTGAGTAAATTTATTAAATCTTTAATTTGCTGAAATATATTCAAATCGAATATGAATTATAATTTTTTGTTTGTGGAAGTGATACGTAACGTAATATTATGTTATGAAAACATATGCATTTCTAAAATTGTGCTTAAAAAATGTCAAAAATTATGAATGAATATGTATACATTTATTAAATAATGTAATATAAATCAAGTAAGCCCGATGCCGGACTAATCCGAGCTGTGTAAATATTTTTATTTAAACTATCTGTTTCTTTTTCAATCTTTCCATACTTCCTTTTTTTTTGCTCCCTCCTTTCCTTCAATTAATTCCCTTTAGCCTAACAATGCTTCCGCCATTTTGTCTTCACTTTCTCGACTTCAGCAAAGGAGAGCGACATAATTGCATTGAAGTAGGGAGAGGAAAGATAGAAAGTTTGCTCTTTATTATTCGTTGTTGTGGGTGTAAATATTTACTGCATGGTCTTTTTGTTTCAAAAAGACTACTAGCACACAGAGGCGACGACTTTATTATTTTAGTTGTTGCCTTCTTGCATGATATTAGATTACATGAATGAAGAAATGAGCGGCAGCAGAGGTAAGAAGAATCTATGTTCATTGTTCTCCCCTTTCATTTTTTTTTTTCTTCTTTTTCTTGTAAATTGTCCACTCATCATCCTGTTTGGGTCATTTTCATTAATTTTTTCTTTCTCGAAATACGTTCATCATCAAATAATTTATTTAGTTTAGCATTCAATAGCTTTTTTTAATCACATTTTCTGCTTTCTTCAACTAGAAAGTCTAGGATCGGCTTTTATCAGGTGACCAGCTTTGCCTGAAAAAAAAATGCAACATTATTAACATTTTTCTTTGCATGAAATCCCAATTCGGACATCCCGTTTTTATCCGTAAATTTTCGCCAGTAAATGTACATATTTTTTATGCATTATGCAACGAAGGAATGTTTGTTTTATTGTAGAGATGCGAAATTTACCGTTTGTACATGAAAATGAAAAAAGGTTTGAATAATGTGGCATCGCAAAAGTCAGTAAAATGGTCAGGAAATGGAGGCCTAGATTTGTCGTAAGAGAAAGACAAGAATGTTCATCATTTGAACTTCACTCCCACTTTTTTCGTTATTTTAGACGATGAGGGTGCTACGTTGCTTGTTATCGATTTAGTCTTTTTTTTTTTTTTTTTAAGCTAATTAAAAGTAAATAAATAAAAAAAAGCCATCACGTGCCATAATCTAATTTGCTTTTTAAAGTATAAACTTTATGATGATGATAGTTTTAATTTTATTTATTTTTTTAAAGATCGCAAAAAATATATTTATTGACCGATGAAGTTTATTTCTTAACTTGCTCCAACCACCACAACAATAAAATGTAATTAAAATATTTTGTTTAAGCGTAACTTTTTATTTATGAAGAAAGAAAGAAAGGGCTACATTTCTCTCTTACTTGATCGTGTTTTTAATGAGATTTTCAACTTTGAAGGCAAATTATATTTTTTTAATTTACTCTCTCTCCCCTTACAAAAAACAAAAAACTATTAATCAGAATTTTTACTCATTTTGTTTTAAGATCATAATTTATCACTTTTTTTGTGTTCTAATTTACAATTCAAAACTAACTCGATATTCATTGTACACATTGTTAAAAATGGATATTTTTTATTATTTTTGTAATTCTTTTTATTAATTATATTTATTTTAAAATTGTTCTATGAAATTAAATGGATTTTATTTTTGTCAACCAAAACAAGAAGTCTTCAGAAAAAATATATTTCCTACAGTAGTCCCCCCCTTTTTTTCCTTGACAGTCAATACATTGATGCGGATGGCAAAATTCTAGCAGTGACTGAAGATCGGACCTTCCTTGTTGTTGGAAGGAGTGGGTCATTGTTTTTTTTCTTATTGACCTAGTTTGATATTTCCATAACCTTTCTTCCCCACTTTTTTGTACGATGACACTAGAACTGTTTACCAAATTAGTTCACTCATGATGACGTTTAGTGTTTTCATGAGTTAAAGAACATTGAACAACTGGCCCATCACACAGTCTTTTTCCTCCAACAATGCGCACCACAGAAAAAAATTAAATTAATCATACCCCCCAAACCTCCTAAAGCAAATTTTCTTGGAATCAATGACTTCACCACTTATGGTAAAACTCTAAAGTGGGAATGTTATTGTTATTATTTAACTCCCGAAAAAAAAACGGATATTTTTTGTTTGCTTTTATTTCTGCTAAAACTGAGTTTGCTTCATTTTTTTTTTTTTTTTTTTTTTTTTTTTTTTCTACTAATTTTCTTTTTATTTTATCAAGTCATATATTTTTATTTTTACGTACCAATTTTTTAGGATTGATTTGTGGGCTTGCTTTATTCAGTTTAAAAACTTAAATTTAGATCCAAATAAATTTTGCTGCTAAAATAAGTTCTTCTTGGACATAAAGTAGAAAGAGAACATTTTATTTTTGTTTTCAACATTTTCGTTTGTGCTAATTTAGCTAATAAATAAAATGACACCGTATCAATAAACCTTTCATTCATTGTTCTGACTTCGTTTTTAGTTAAATTTCAAATAAATTGTCTAATTTAAATTTAAAACATAATATTATGACTTAGCTTTTTATTTTTAGCTGAAAAATTTTGACTGATTTTAAAAATAATTATTATTACCTAAGTTAAAATTACCATTTTATTTATTTGAATTAGTTTTTTTTTTCTCTCAATAGATTTTTTTTTTTGTGGGATTTTGTGACTTTGTTTTCTGTTTTTAAAATACTTTTTATTTTACATTATTTAAATTTAAAAAAATCAATAATATCCATAGTTAGTAAATAAATACAATCGCTTTTAGTTTTATTTTTTGTAGTGGCATTATTTTTTATGTCTTGTACCAGGCTTTTTTTTTTTTTTTTTTAAGCATTAGAAATCGTGATCATCATCTGATCCTTTTAGTTTTCTTTTATTTCTGTTTTTAAGGCCTTGGTGAATTTCTCTTTTTGTGCTGTTTAGAATAATTTCTCTTGAGTGCCTCGTGTTTAGCATCCTAAAGTAGGTCACGTGAGAAAGATCATCATTAGCTTTCATTGCAAAGAAATGAAACAAAGAAAAAAATATATCACTTTTCTTATTGTTTCATCTTTTAGTACAGGCTGATTCTTTTTTTTTTCTTTTTATCATACTGAAATTGCTGAGAGTGGGACTGAAAAATCTATATAACTAATGATGATGATAATTATATACTCTCCTTTCCTCCCACTCAGCTCACACAATATGCTGGCTCATTTGAATAACGCTAGTTAGCAGCAGCAGCAGTTGTACCAATCGCATTTTAGGAGGAGCCATGTGATACATTTTATATTTTATTACTTTCCTTTTTATTTATTAAAATGATCTGTTTTGCTTTCAAAATAACTAAAACAAATTGCTTTTAATATTGGTCAAAATTATTTAAAACTTTATTCGTAAATGCTGATCCGCAGGAAATGATAACATATCCATGTTTATTTTGTTCATGAAAAGCAAAAAAAAAAAAAACGTACATTAAGGGAAATAACCGCGTTTGAATTGATAGAGAATTTCACAAATCCTGATTATGATTTCCGGGTGGGGGGGGGTGGCTGAATAAAAATAATTATCACCCTAAGGAATTTAAACAGTTTTTACTTCGTCGTACTATAAAAGTTTGATTTGTTGAAAATGAAATTCCAATTTTTATTTGACTGTAAAACAGACAAATAGTGTTTGGGGGAGGGGAGAAATTTATTTTTATTTTTTTTCTTATTTCAAATTTTGAGAAGAGAAGTATTACTTGATTTGTATCCTAAAAATGATTGTACCAAATATGTGAATCGGCAGTTAAGGCTCGTTATCTATGCGGTTATTGTGCGAGGGAGGGAGGGGGTGGGTAGATGAAACTCATTCAAATTTTAATGTTTGCTATAAAAAATTAAATTTATTCTCTAAATGTAATATACATAACAAGAAATTGAGAAGCTGTATTGTGATTTCTAAATACCTTTAATTCAATTTATTTTTCATTTTTATTCTGGAAAGATAACTTACTTAATATTGACTATATGCACATTACATCATAACCTATTTACTAATAAATTAACATTAAGAAAAGTAGTTCATTCTGAATTATTTTAAAAAAGCTATCTTTAAAATGATATGGAAAAATATGCAAAGTTTTAAATTTATAAAATAAAGTTTTTCTTTTTTAATGCAAATTTTATGGTAATTTAAACCTGCAAAGATGTTGTTAGTCATACTTTTGTACAATTATATATATTTATAATAATATGGGTACTGCCAAAGAAACACAATGCCTCAGTTTTAAAAATGGATTTAAAAAAATTGAAAAATCTTTCTTGAAACTTATTTTAATTTCAAGCTTGTAGATTAAATTTAATATTTCCAATAAGCAAAATACTTTGTATTTTAAAACTAATTTAAATTGGCTGGAAGGAGTTATTGTTGGCTTTTTTAAATTACTAAAAATCACTGATTTTAGCTATTTTTAGTCATCTGTTAGCACAATGTAATTCTCTTTATTAAAAAAATCATTCAGAAATAAAATACTTTTCTGAAACTTTGAGAAATATTAGTTGATTTAAAGTTTAATTAATCTGATTTGAAACATTACTTTTAGCTTAAAATATTGCAGAAATGCATTTTTAGCATGAGTAGGTTTTTTAACGAGTAGAAATATAATGTGAATGCTTTTTAATATAATTTTCAACTACCCAGTAATCTTAAAAATTTAGAAAAATATTCTGCAATCTAATGTTTTATTGAATTTTAGGCTTAAATTTACTATAGTTACCATCATTTTCTGATAATGTAGTATATCAATGTCTGTATTTACAAAAATCAACATGTTTATACACAACAAAAAACAAATTCAAAATTCTTTTTAAAATACTTGAGGCTGCTGAATTGGAGTAAGCATTTTTATTTAATAATAATATCACCTCCTAACCAGTACAAATTAATACAGAATTTTAAGATTTAAAAAAACATACTTCGTTCTAATTAAATTTTAAAAAATGAAAACCCATTCTTGTAAAAAAAATTCACTATCCATCAAAAAAAAAAAAAATTTTTTTTTTTTTTACAAAATAGTGTCCATAATATATCTTATTGATAAAAGCAATTAAAAGCTTTTCTAATTAAATAATGCCTTGGTTTTATTGCATTTTTTATTTTATGATTCAGCAGATTTTCTATAACTGAGTCCTGTTTTACAAAAAAAAAAAAAAAAATGATTTAAATTCTCCAAGGACTTCTGCACGTAACTAAAGATTAAGCTGTACAAAAAATGAATTTCTCAATTTCATAAAAATTAAATAAGTGGAGGTGGTAATTGTAAAAAAAAAAAGTTTTTACTAAGATTTGCTGCTTTTTTTTTTTTTTTTTTTTCCCCTCTCTCTCTCAGAAACATTTGTAAAACAATGCCATTCCTTTGTTATTAAGTCCTGTAAGTTTCATTTAGAATTCAGCAATTATTTGATTTTTGTAAGAATTTGCTATTTCAATGTGTTTTTCACTGCAAAAAAAAGCGGGGGTGCTAAAATTAAACTTAAGAGGATTTATAACTACTGCAGGACCTGCAGTAGTTATATCTAATAATGTCTTTATCAGTATTGTGCTTTGTTTTTTGTTAAATTGAGTCACTCCAAACAATGTGATAATGCCAACTGGATGATAGGTGAACCTATCTGTTCCTATTGAAATTGGTTTAGTTTTATTTTATTTTGTTGGCCATTACGCTTTAAGATGGGAGAGGCCAAAAATAATAGTTGGTGTGGATTGTCTAAGGTAACAAACCAACTGGAAGGTGGTGCAACAGCATAGTGTTGCATTTGGGTTTGCCCACTGGAAGTGCTTAGAGGTTACATCAAGGTATATCATGTCGCAGCACTGGAAGAACCCAGCTATTGTGCAACTAGGGATCAGAGCAGGTCCACTAGGTATTCACAGGGATTTAAATTCATTGCACTTAAAACTTGTTCTGTTAGATAACACCACACTTTAAGAGTATTATCCATGACTTGGCTTTCAAGAATATCATCCTTTGTTTTATATTCATCAGTGTGCAGTTTTCCTTAAATTGAATAATAATTGTATTTAATTTTCTTTTCCTTAACACAAAACAATTCCTGTTTGTTTTTTGTTTTTTAATTCAAAGGTAATGCAATTATCTAAAATGGGTATTATTTATATTCACCACTTAATTTTTTTTTTTTTTTTTTTTTTTTTTTTGAATAAAGAAAAAAATTATGGATTACTTTTAGGATAAAAGATAATATGGTGAGATTTATAACTTTGGAAACACCTTGAAAGACACATACAGAGCAATTGTCATTATTTTTTTTCTTACTCTGGGCTTATTTATACCGGGTATTTGAATTCAGCACAAAAACATTCATTCAACCATGTTATCGCCTCTTTAGTAAATTTACAAGGTTAAAGGTGCATAATTTTATCTATAATAAGATGACTAATCTAGTATTAAAATACACTTATTTTAATTATTACTTCTATCATTTAATGCAATAAGTTAATTAGATAAAGAAATAAATTAAATGTCTTGCAGTTTGCAATCTTTGAATTTTTTTACCTTCTGTTCATTAGAAATGGAGGGAAAAAATCAATTATCTGATTTTAAATTATTTAAAATTTACATCGTACATTTTAGACAGTTTTGTAATTTGATAAATAAAAATGATGCAAATTTTATAAAATTGAATATAATACTTGGAAGATTTTACAGAAGTGTGTTGTGATTAAAAGGCTATCTAATCTTCTAAAATTGATTGTGTTTTTTCTGGAATATCATGTTTTCAATATTTTGTAAATATTTTATATAACAATTGAAAAATCTTCTAGAATAGATTTGCCTTGCCCTCATTCTCATATTTGTCTTTGAATAAATAATTTCTTGTATACATTGTTTTAAATTCACAAATATTATTCTTTATTTCTAGGAAATGATACGGTTGTGAATGTGTTGGATGACATTCTAGATCCCAATGCAGGAGATGATGATCTCATTGTGGAAATAGCAGCAGAAGGCAAAATGGGTAAATTACCTATTTCTGAAAATCTTTTTACATTTCTATATCTAATATGTATGTGATTGGAAACATTGTTGTGCTTTTACTATTAAATTTTGTTTAAAAACGCATCTAAAGTCATGCAAATCTATTCACTTCACTTAAGCTGATCAAGTTATACACTCAGTTGGTAACAATCGTACAAAACCAGTTTCTTAAAGTTGTCACATTCAGTACCTATGAATTTTGTAGAAAGGATACTAATAATCTTCAGAAAGTACTTTTTATGCAACCTCACCTATTAAAATAAGTTCTTATTTTATGCTTTTTCCAAGTAAAGGACTTGCTACGGCAAGATAATGTCAGTCATTTAAATGTTAAATATTAATTACAAACTTAATTTCTGGACTAATACATTTCACATTAGTATATTTGTTCATATTAGTTAATGTTTACATTATTTCTAAATATATATATATATATATATATATATAAAAAAAAATCTATGCAGTTTTATTTGTTCAGAATGTATTTACATTCTGAAATATGACTTGCTGTTTTCTTTTGACTTCTCTAAGGTACTTTTTCAAGCAATACTCCTTAGAATTGTGCAATACTATCTTTTATGCTTATTTTGTCCAATATTTTATATTAGGTTATGAGCAAACAGTCTTCATTCATCCATCCACAAACATAAATCTACCTATATATCAATTTCATATACATATTTAAAATTGCCTTTTATTTTGTTTCATGTACTTTTTCTGTTAAAAATCTCAATAAAAAAAAAATAACCTATATTTAAATGTACTATACTAGGTATTCTCAAATTTCCAATATTAATTCCATGACCAAAATCCATTTAAATGAAAGATAAGTTAATTCAATTTTCATAAATTTTATACAATAAAAAAATATTTTGATATGAAAAAATATTGCTTTTATTTGATAACATTTTAGTTTTATTTGTTAAATAATGACATATTTATATTGTAAAAGATTTCTGCTGAAATTAATCTTAATAAAGGCTTTTGCGAACTGTATAATTCTTGTTTTTACTTTTGATTGTACCTGAAATGATATTGAATAAAGGTTTATATGATGAAGAAATAAAAGAATTTATCTGTAATTATATTCTGTTAATATTCCAATACATTTGTTAATAATAATAAAAAAAAAAACTGAATATGTATAGAAACTCCATTTTACAATAAACCAGATAATTTATTTTAAGTTATTTGCAGTTTGCCATAAATAAAGTATCTCTTTATTCAAGCAGTTTTGAATATAAACTGAAAATACTGAGCTACAATTTCTCTGGCAATTTGTATTTGCTCTTAGTAAAATAGGCACCTCCAAAAAATTCGGTACCCAAGGTTTAAATGTATTTTTCATGAATAAGAAATCATTTTTGAAGCTTTCCCCAAGCTTCAATTAAAAGCTAAAGGGTTCAATTTTCTAATTCCATGAAAACAAAACACTGTACTGTATTTCAACTAGAAATTATAATGATTTTAATCAATTCTTCTGAAAAACTAATTGAAACGGCCATGTTTAACTTTTTTTTATAGAGAAATGTAAACAAAAATAATTTTTTGTTTTAAAAAAAAACGCCTAAAATAACATATAGATTTTTGAAACGTTACTTTCGTAAAATTAGCAAATTTAAAGTTTAATTAATCTGTTTTAAAACAAACATCACTTACTTACACTATGAAATTTTCTAGACAAGCATTTCTTCACTACGGAGTCTTGAATTTTCTCGAGTCTCCATCGATAATTTGATGGCCGCTTGTGTTGACAGGTTTAGTATGGTGGACCAGAGCTGATACAATTTTTCGAATTCTAAGTAAGAATGGTTTGCTATTGAATTTTTAACTACTAAGTAATGTCTAAAATTTAAAATATTTCAGGCAATTATCTAATATTTTACTGATTTTTTTTTAACTGTAATTTTGAAGATGCTTTCTTATAATAATTTAAAAATAAAATACTATAAAAAAACTTTTTAAATTATGTAGTTACCTCTATAATGGTAGATAATTATGATAAATAATTTTATTAATTACTATATTATCAGTTATTACAATTTTTAACTAAATAACTGAGATGTAATATTGTTAATTATTATATTAATTATAAATTATATTATTAATTATATTAATATTTATCTTAAATTATTAATAATAATAATAAAAATTATTAATTATTATAACTTCTATCTCACTCAGGTATTACATTTTTACAACTGAAATATAATTTTATCTCAATAATTCATTTCTTAATTTAATAACTGAGTTATAAAAGTAATTATCTGTTATCACAAATGATAGAGATAGCACTATGCTTTAAAATTTATAGTATTTAATATTTATATCTTTTAAGATCCTATTTTTTCATTTTATTCTTTATTATATTTTGATGTTTATGAATTGTTAAAGTTATTTTATTTAATAAATTTTTAAAGTACTTAAATTTTTATTACTTAGATAATTGTACACCAAGGGCTTTCCCATAGGGGGAGACAAGCCTTGAAACACGTGATCTTTTAACCATAATATCACTTGCGAGACACCATACCAATAAATGAAAATAAACACCGTGACGCACAAAAAAAATTAACTTTTATTATGGTAAAGTTTTGGTAGCGTTATTTGTATTAAGCTTTTAATTTTCACTTAGTAAATATCGTCTTCACTTAAAAACCTAATAGCTGACCAAATGCGCTGCAAGAAAGAATTTTAAAACATTTTTGAAAATTAAAGAAAAAAAATGAAAAAAGGGGGGGAAAAATAAAAGAAAAATGCAAACAATTGTTGTAAAAATTCTATATTCACCGAAATTTTATTTTTTCTTCAGATAATAATGTCCTTAATGTATATTATTTATAAAAGCAAATAAAAACTTATCTAATTTGATAATTAGATAGTTTATTGCAGTTTTTATTTTTATGATTTGGAGCAGATTTTTTTAAAAATTGGGACTAGTTGTGAAAAACTAAATTGGTTATTTAATTTCTCCAAGAAGTCCTCTTTATAAGAAAAGAAAAAAAAGTTGCAAACTTTTTGAAATTCTATAAAATTTCATAAAATTAAATTTGGAGGTAGTAACAGATGTAAAAAAAAAAAAAATTACCAAGATTTTCTAAAAATAAAAATTTAAAAAATAAATTCATTCATTTTTTAATAAGTTCTAAAAGTTTCATTTTAATTAGACAATTATCTGATTTTTGCAATGATTTCAAAATTAATGGGTTCTCACCCGAAATTGCTACACTAAAAAAAAGCAATGACCACAAGTCGTACGGTTTAAAAAAAAAAAGAAAACGAGATGTTTGACCCAAATTTAAAAAGTGTTAGAAAGAAGAGAAAAATTTTTAAAAATATTTAAAAAATACTTTATTCTTTCCTCTTAAGAATAACATAAACATTTTTATGATGAAACTTTGTTTTTATTAAGTTTTGGGCCTGTTATCGTTATGCTATACTGACATCTTGCGAAGAATTGGAGGTACCTATAAAAGTAAGCAAATATTTTAGAATTGAGACCAAAGAATTTTTCCCTCTTTTAATTTTATAGATCTCTATCTTCTTTCTAAACATTTTAAATATATTTGCTATTATCTCTCCTCTTGAACTTTATGCAAAGATATACTAACATACTAAAACCAGGTTGTATGCTCTAAAAATAAAAATCATTTGTCAGTCTAGTCAGGTTTCACTTTTTCTTTTAGATAAACAAAGCAACATGATTAAGTATCTGTATTTTCATTATTACCATTCTTATTTATAACTTTGTATTTCATTTTCCTCTAAAAATTCTGTTCTCAGTACTTATTTAGACATTATCACTTGAAAGTATTTCAGAGGAAAGTAGATCGTTTTAAAAACAACTTTGAAGCATAAGTACAATTTGCAATTACCAATGTATAAATTACTTTTTTGAAAAATAACTTTCTATTAATAATAAATTTTTTGAAGATCAGAAAAAAATATTGAAAAATTCACAGTAGTAATACAGATTTAGTCCTGTCATAATTAATTGGTTTGTCTTATCAAGGTAGTGTTGAAATAAACTTTGTTATATTTTTTATTCAAATTTCATAACAAAATTTACAAGCAATGAGTCTCTTGTGGAGAAAGAAATATTTTCTTCTAATTTATGACTTGGTGTGACAAGTATGTATAAAAGAACCAGAAATCTATGTAACCTTCGAAATTAGACCTGGCACAACAAATAAAATTAAAAAAAAAAAAAATATCTTTCAAGATTTTATAATTGATTCTAAATTATACATGGACACATTTGCATTGAAATTAAATTTTAATGTGAGAGGAAGTGGTGATAAAATTAAATGCATTTGCCAGAATTTCTAATATGATAATAAAACAAATCTTTGGACAAAATCTAAATCTTTATTTATAATTGATTCAAGGGAAATACATTTTCATGTTAAATATTCAAATTGATGTAGATTATTTCTCAAATTACAAGTTTTACTCAAAAGAAATAATAGCATGATATTTACTTTACTTGCACAAACTTGATATTGTTAGAAAGTAAAATGAATCTTTATAATTTTATAAAATTTCTTGTGCATGTTTTAAATATTGATTTAAGATTTTAAAAACATAGCCTGCAATGTGACAACTTGGTACAAACTTATATATTATAATTTTACAAGAATATATTATTAAATGTCAATGTAGATTTTCCAATTGAAATTACATATAAGTAACATTTATCAAGGAAAACACTTGTTCTGATAAAGAAATTGGAATTTTATTGAAAAAAAGGACTAAAAAATGCATTGTAAAAATATATGTACCAATTTCCAGTGGCTGACAATATACCAACTTTTTTCTTTCTCTCATCCTTGTCAATTTGATCAATTATCTCTTGTTTAGTATTGGTACAGTTTTACAACTTCTAGCTCTCAGTCCTAAAATTTCTCTCTGATTTTGATAAAATCCTCCAAACATATGCTTTCTGAAGGACACTTGTTTAAATGAATGAAATATAAAAAA